AACACAGCAGATTTGAATACAACTGATACCAAGGATCGCGTGTACGGTCTTCTCGGACTCGCAAGCGATACTGAGTATTATCACATAGACGTCAACTATGGCCTCTCACTCACTGCGGTATACTGCAAGGTCATTGAGCATTTTCTCCATACATATCGATCATTACTGTTCCTTTGCTATTCATGCCGACGGTTCTCTCGAGTTGAACACCACCACGAATTTCCTTCATGGCTTCCGGTCCCCGAAAAACGCGCAGAACTCCGACGAATTGATGGTCTAGAGTACTGGAGGGGATCTGTCAACATTGACTTGGAGAGATTACGACAAGGTATTTTGCAAGTCAAGGGAATCAAGATTGATGCGATTGAGATCTCAGCCAAATCGAATTCATTGGATCAACCAATTTCTCGGTGGATTGCGCAGCTGAAAAGTATTTGCGTTCGCGCTGGATTCTCCGAGAATTCGTGGTCAAAAGCTTTAGAGTTACTGTATTACAGTAGTGGTTCAGCTGACGAAATCTGGGATTACCAGACTGTCAGAGGCGACTTGGTCGATGAGACACACAATGCCATCGTTAATGGTATAAGAAATGTAGCGCTCTGGCCAGAGAAGATTGGATTTCCGGATATGAGTATTCCTCATCTGATGCCAGGAACCGGATTATCTGATGGTGAAGATTTAGGAGGAATTAACATGAAGGAAAACCCCGCTATAATGGAGATACAGGCCATCCGAAGTATCTACTTCGCTTTGATCGGTGCGACATTCATCGGAACTACAGATAACCGACTCGGTCTAGCGTATCAATGTTGTCGAGGTTGTGCTGCCAAGAAAGGGGACGAAATTTGGGTCTTATTTGCCTGTCCCATGCTCATGGTTTTGCGACCTCTTGGACAAAGCTACAAGAAACAGTACAAGGTTATAGGGCCAGCTAAGGTTCCGAAGCAGATGCAAGATGAGTTTTGGGACGATGTGCGAGAAAAGGGTCGAGGGCCTGCGCCCTCCAGCGGGCACCAGATGTCCATAATTGAGCTAATATGAAATTCATGAAGTTTGTAAATTTGCATGTCATTACAGCCAACTGACCCAACTACCTCGGTCCTATTGATGAGTGATTATAGTGAGGTCGTTCAGCTGGGGATCTAGGATGAGGCACCCGATAACTCTTATTCTGCTTCAACCTAACCATATATAATATATCATAAAGAGTTAAAGACATATACTTACAAAGGAGATGACACTTATCACCCTACTATCCAATTTACAGCTATTTTCATTCATATAATAAAAACCTTTCTACTCCCTCTTTTCACAAACTTATCTACCCTTTGTCTTTTTTTTTTTCGGTCCATACTCACCCTATTTTTCCATTATTTCAAAAGCTTATCTACTAGCATAATGCGTACTATGGTGGCTAGGATATCTACCCTTATTTTCAAAGGGATATTTACCCTTCATCTTTTACTTTTCGTCCAAACGCCCTATATAAATTAAAAGGATATGCTATAGTATATCCTATCCTATAGTGGCCAGGTCTCGTTAGACAAATATGAATGCATTCATTATACTATTTTACTCTTTATACAAAGTATCGATCTATAATCTAGCGGAGGTTAAATCATTATTTATAGCATTGAACGTACTGCATTCGACAAATTTATTGGTCTAGGAAAGTAGATATTTCGATGAATTTCAGTCTGTATTCGTTGTCGTCTTGGACAAAAACTGCCGAGCATTCAGGTATGCTAGGTATGAAGTTTACCTGGAGAAGAAACATTCGGTAGATAGCTTTATAATTTGCAGTGCACTAAAGACTATCTAATTTCTACGGAGACTAGGACTCTGGCACCTAGGGGAGCGAGGAGAAACGGATTTCGCAAAATACTTAGAAGCGCTCAACCCTGCCGCAGAAGAATGGAAGCGGAGTATCATATACTTTCACACTACTACCTCTTTCTTATCCTGCGATATCCAAACATTCTCGGCTTCATTTTGTTCTTCCTGTGATACTATCTCAGGGCCATTGTTGTGCTTGTTGGCCTTGGTATTACCAATCAAACGTTTCAAAATGGTGATCCATGCATCTCTCGCCTGCCAAATTGGCAATCCCCATAGTAGGGCAGCAGCTACCCACGACCAGATAAACACGATCACTGTCCAACCAGTGAAAAACTTTCGGCTAAACTTGTATCCCGTTCCGTAAAGTGAGAATGGAATAATGATGAGGAAGATAAGACATATAACGGCAGACACGATCTTAGCGTTGCGGCTGGCCTTCGCCAGTGCTGGAGGGTCCCAATCATCCCCAAGATCGGTATTGTCATCAACGGCATACTCCTTGTCGGACGGTCGGGGCTCTATGGCTTGCATGAGGAAAAGTCTGTCCCAATCATAAGGCTGTCTCTGACTTGGGAAGAGTAGCATGAATCCCCAGAGCAGTAGAGGCATAAACAATGCGACGGTGCACCCCGTAAACATGGGCCAGTTTTCGAAGAGTGTGTCCACCGTGATCTCCCCGAACATACCCTTGGCCATGCCGAGCCATGCAGAAAGTGCGCATGCTGTACCAATAGGTGCAGCACAGGTCATGTACGTTCGAGAAACATAGGGTGAATTGACAGCCAATGCAATTGGTATCACAGCTGACCCGAGAATGACTCCCGAGAACTCCAGTATCCACCCCATGGAAATGCCGCTGTAGTTGAGCGCAGTAGCGAATGACGCTGAGAAGACAGCAAAGAATGTCAGAGACGCGTGTGAGACAAGTTTCAATCGCGCATCGTCAGCTTTGGGGTTAATATACGGTTGGTAAATATCAAACGTGACAATCGAGGCGTGGGCAATGATTTCGGCACTAAATGACGATGTAACGGCCATGAAGATCATGACAATAACCGCAGCTGCGCCTCCCTTACCCATCACGGCTTCAGCAGCGAGAGGTAGGATCAAGGCGTTGCTGATCTGATACATTGTTACACCACCTTCTAGCGGCCAGTATTGTGTGTTCGCAAGCGCGACAGCGACATAACTCAAGGTGGCGCAAAGTCCGAGAGGGATGCTGAACCACGCGAAGGCCCCGTAGAAATAACCGCGCACAACGGCGCCAGGCTCGCCGGCGATGGCTTTTTGACCGTAGCTGGGATCAACAAAGACGCATCCAAAACTTGAAACCAAGATAACTCCGGCCAGTAGAAGTGCCTCGCCAGACTGCATTGTGAGATAGGAACCATCTTTGGCTCCTATAGCGCCGCCGCTAGCCATGGCTGCGTCTGTTTGAAGCAAGTCCCAGAGTGCCCCGGGGGATCCGAGAACGGGTAGCGACTTCACGGCCATCACCTTGAACATGAAAAACAGAAGGATAATGTATATGATGAGAGTGCTGCGACGCGTATCGAGTTAGTGTCGACTAGCTCAGCATTGAGATTTCAGAATTCGAAGTCCAGCTTACTGGATATAATCGGACAAGATCGTGGATTTCAGTCCGCCGAGATATGTATAGATTACCACGCCGAGTGGGATCAGATAATTCATCGCAACCTCATGAGTTTTGTAACATTAGCCTTAGTCAATTTGACAACACAACCACTTGCTCGGGGTCTTACGATGTTTGCGCCAGTAGTTACTGTAAATGCAGCCGAACCACCCAGCAACAGAGCTGCCGTGATAATGATCTGCACCGCTACGCCGTATGCAAAGAAGACCAGATGCGTCTTGGTTCCGAATCGAACGCGTAAAACCTCGAGGATGGTGTTGGCACGGGGCGCTCGTCTTTTGAGCTCTATGGCCATGATAGCAAACAGTAGAATCTGGACACTGCAGCCCGAGACAAACCACCAAAGGCCGGCGAATCCGTACAAATAAGTTATTCGCACCGAGTTGAGAAGTGTGGCTGCATAACACCAGGACGATACAACAGCAGCGGCAACCAAGCCGGACTTGACGCTCTTCTTCGCTGTCATAAGCATGTTGGTGTCAGTGGACTCATTGAGATACTTCCGAGATATCCAGGTAATGCAATTCATGATCAGCGCGAAGGCAATGCCAAAGCCAATTACCAAGCCGTAGGCAAGGCTCTGGGGAAGTGGCGGTGTTCCATCTGTAGCTGCCATGTTGGCGCAATCGAACGAAAATACTGCTCTGAAAACCCTGTTGAAAAGTCGTAGGGTAAGAGTTCGCGGACCCTTTCCTTTATCAGAAGGAAAACAGCGAGCAAGACTCGTTCAGAGCAGAGGTGTGCGGGCCAATTCAGTATTAAAGCCCAGCCCCGGTTGACGCGCGCAAAGGAGCCAGGGGGTTCCACAAAAGCCTTAACAGGGGGGTCATTATTAAAATTGGGGCATTTGGCGACAAGATTGCCAATAGATACGGCAAACGGAGCATTCCGCGCGGGGGTAGAACAGGACCTTGCTGGTGATAAGTCTGCGTCGCAGTTTCAATTAGTTCTAACATGGAGAATGGAGACCCATGTACATCACTAATGTCGTATTCGCATTAAACACAGGCCAATATCATGATATCTCATCAATGGTACTTTTGGTACGGGACTGTACAAGGTTGATTTGTACAACTTTAATGCTGCCCGGCCTTTGTATTCACCACCAGATGCTGAATCTTTTGACCTCCTCGGGCAAAAATGATACCAAGACTTCAAAATAGGGTATTCGTCGTGCTGCACCTACACCAAGAAGAAGTGCACGTGTGGCAAGCCAAGGCTGATCATGGCTTTCTTCCCCAGACAAAATAGACCGGCAAGTAAATATGGATTGCTGGATTCTTGAAATCATTCTTCACCTTGGCCTTAAACACTTCCACTTCTGTTTTGTCCCACCCAAGCACGCGGGAGTAGATTCCGTACGTATAGGAGTCTATAACTTGTAGCTCTTGCCAATACTGCCAGGTCCCAATTTCCTTCATTTTGGGATCTTTAGGCCAAAATCCGATCGGAAACTAGGTATCATTGTCAGCAATAAACATTTCACAAGTTTCAGTTGCACAAAGGGTCAAAACATGCTAACCTTGTGGACTTCTTGCTGTACATCCACGAACCCTGCATCCTCCATTTTGTCTTTCCACAGCGACGCATTGTCCAAAGGTTTACCAAACTTCCGGGCGCCCTCGAGCATACTCTTGATCCATGCCTGGGCATTAGTGGCCATCTGGGCTGTGCCATCATCGGATAGGAAGAATCCATCAACGGCCTGCATTTCGAGATACCCACCAGACGAAAGATGTCGGAATGCCTGTTGAAATAGTTCGTCCTCATTTGCTATGCATCCTTCTAGTTCCCGGCCATGTATGTAGTCGAATGGCTTACGATACAGCCAGTCAGACTCGAAGTCATCGACTTCGAAAATACAATTGGGCGGAGTCCTACATTTTATCATTGATTAAGTGTAAACAATAAGTAACTGGTTTTCTTACCAAATAGGTTGAATGGGACTCAAATCAACCCCAAGAACCTCTGCAGACGGGTATTCACTGGAGTTTAATGTCAGATGTGAGAATAGAGAAGCATCATAACATGAAAGAATACTTACTCTGCAAAGTCTATTGCCCATATTCCTGTTCCGGTGCCAAGGTCGAGCACGCGCTGAACATTGTCACTGATAGGAGCAAGAAACAGTTTCCCTCCGAGCAGTAGACGATATATGTGATGCACCATATCCATACGATTTTGCTCCTCTGCGTCGTTTGGCTACCGATAGTCAAGTAAGCGTCTCGGCCTTTTTTTTAATAGATGTTTAGAATTGAGATACCACTGGATATGACCCTTCTCTGAATGCATGATAGCGGCGTCCGTTCTATCACGCTGTTAGCCGCTAGCAGAGTACACGTTCCCGAGACTTACCTCGTATCTACAATATCGAAGAGAATAAATCATCAGAAATCTTTCGTGCTTCATCAGCCACAGTCTATTACTGCAACGAACCTGTAATTCACGATGCTCGACTTCATAGATGTCAAACAGCTAGATGCTTCTCTAAACTACCGTCAGACAGAATCAAGCCAGCCGAAGAGACAATATGTAATCTCACGACTCATTATAAGCAGAATCGCCATCGTCCTGCTAGGCAATGTCAGTCAAACTCTCGCTGCACTGCTTGTTCTGGGTAGCCGTTTATTCACATCCACTTGCAACGGATTCTCCGCCAGGAGATCTTGCACCGGTGAAGCTGGGCTTGGCGGGCTCTGAGGTTGTTCCTCAGCCATCTCATTAGGATGGGCTACCTTCACGTACTGTCACCAAAGGCGAAAGGGAGGGATTGAATCTTCGGTGGGGACAAGTCATGATTTGTTGGCAGGCAAGGTCATGCCCGCTTAAAAACACATTGCTCGAAACCAGGTTTGGGAAGGCCGGGGTCTGTAAACGGAAATACCCGCTCATATCTAGAGCCAATAGGAACGAGAGCCGCCGCATAAGGTGGCTATGGCTAGCGCTCCTGGTCCTTGTCTTGACTGGAACACGGATTGCGGTGAAGGATGTCTGGATTTCGGCATTCACTAAGGAAATAAGATTAGACCCCTAATTCCCCCGCACCTGAGCGACACAAACCAATCATTCTCGAGGGGTGTGCTTCGTGGCTGCCCATGCAAGCAGGGTGCAAAATGGCATGACTGCCCGTCCGCATCGGTGGGCGACTACTTCAAAGCCATCGGGGCATTACCATATTGAAACTAGCGACTTGTAACAGATTTCAGCTAACCCTTGACAGCTTTGTCGTCACAGACGAGATACTGGACCCGGTTGCATCCATCTTTAAATTGTTTGAAGACTTGTCGAGTATTGTTTACACTCAGATCTCTTACGGCTGCTGAATGTCCCCATCAAAGAACATGTAGAAATCAGGCACCAAATTGCGCACTACGACGGTATTGGCATCATATCTAGTCGCTGTCTAGGAAAAACCTCACCCTCAGAACCCACTGGTGCTGCAAACGCATAACTAAAACGTGATCTAATCTGTGGAAATGCCTGGATAGGTCAAGGGTAAGAGAAAGCGTGCCTAATAATCCACACCTACGACATCCCGCATTAGATGAAGCATTGCGGTGACCTTTTCTTCCTCTAGTCTTCTAGCAATCAGTGACAGCCCTATCAAGGCTTCCTCGTGATTTTCTGGCTTGCCATCTAGGGGCTGTCAGTAACTGGAACGGTCACAGTACCAAGATGTTGGGATGAGATTTAAACACTCACAGTAGTCCATGACCTCTTGGTCCTTTTCAGAGAGAGGTTGCCAATCCTCTGGGACCTTGTCCTTGTCTAGGTCAACTTTCGTTACGGGAAACACACCGGTTGTCAAATCCAGAAGCGGGGACAACGCGCCATAATGCCACGGGTACCCTCCATCATGTCTGATAGCCGGAAATGGCGTAGACGGCATAATCAACCCATCGATGGGGCGTCCCGTGCTCGTCTGCGTGACTGTAGCTTGCCATCTAGCCAGGAACCTTTCTGCTAGCAGAGCATGGCGGTGTTGGTTTTGCCATGTCTCAAATACGGTCAGTGCTTTGACGCCAGAACTATGGCCTAGCCAATCCTCTACATATCCCGGCAGTGGTTCACCCGTAGCGTCGCTGTCCCGTTGCACCTCGAACCCGCCATCCGCAGTCCACATCTTGTTGATAATTTCAGCAGCTTCAGGGCTCTCGTAAGGCGTAAACTCAATGACTTCGTGGCCAGCAGCCAACAACTTTGCCTTGGTAATCTCAACAGCCCGCCTGAGAGGTGGTCTTACAGTTGCACATCAGTTAGTCCTCAAACGGATTGCGTGTAACGGGAGAAGAACAGAATGGAATTCAACTCACGATGGACTGACATATCCATCTCCCATACCAATTCCAAAAGCCAACTTCTCTGGCAGTTGCTCGTCCTCGGTTCTCCAGGGCAGTGGCACGCATTGGGGGTCATAGAGCCATGGCTTCGTTCCTGCGACGCTCGACATGAATAATCGCACGTCCTCAGGGCTCCGACACATAGGCCCCGCACAGGATCTTACTGCTCCCTGTCCGAGAAATGTGTTTGTCACGTTCTGATACGAGACTCTGCCGTGAGACGGCCGGAGGGCGTACAGACCGGTGTACGAGCTCGGGTGCCGAATAGAGCCTCCGATATCTGTGCCAACACCCATAAAGCTGGCTCTAAAAGTCACCAAGGCGGACTCCCCACCAGATGACCCTCCGGTAGTCAGCTGCCGATTCCGGGGATTTAGAGTGCGGCCAAAAATGTTGTTAACTGATTCCCCCATCATCAGTGAGGCTGGCACATTAGACTTTACATAGAAAATTGCCCCAGCATTTGCAAGTAGAGACACTAGTGTTGAATCTGATACAGCAGGCTTGTTTGCATAGGAACAGTAGCCGATGGTCGAATCGAGACCTAATTTAAGTGTATTAGCTTCCTGGGTGATTTTCCCACGGTATTTGATATAAATGTGATCCACTTGCCCTTCAGGTTGAACTGATCCTTGAGGCTTTTCGCACCATCAGCTATGCTCATTCATATAACACAGTCTAGTGGCACTAGATTCTCATGAAACAAAGCAGCCACAATTACCTGATCGGAAGGCCATGCAAGGGTCCAACAGTCTTGTTTTCTCTTTTGAAGTAATCATCAAGCTCGCCCGCTCTTGCAATGGCGTGATCAAAACATATCTCCGTCACACAATTAATTAACTGCTGCGCTACGGCGGCCCGTTTGCAAATCGCGGTTGTTACTTCAGTCGCAGTCCATTCTCCTGAAGCTATTTTTGCCACTACCTCGGATGCTGTGGCCTCAGTAAGGGCTAGCTCACGATCAGTGAAGAATCCTGATAGTCTAGGGAAGTCCTGAACAAATGTGGTCTCCGCAGGAGGGAGAATAGCATTTGGTATTGTCCACGCAGCAGGAATCCTGGACAGCCGTTCGGCTTGCTTCTGACTCGCAATAGCTTGCCATTGCGGTTGACTCATCCTGAAGACGCGGGGCAGATCTTGTGTCGGTCCTCTGTCTATTTATAGGAATAGCTTGTCAACGACAAGGAACAATTTTATCAGTCTGCCTCAGGCTCGTGGTGAAGGCAGAGCGACAGCTTCACTGAGAGGAACTATGAAGGTTCAGATTTGTGAGGGCTTTTGGCCAGAGTTCCTCCGCCGCGGGGGTCGATATGCCGGCCATATTCCTCTATCGAGTATAGCGTGTCCGTGGTCGGACTTATCATGTCGAAGGTGGCCACTGCTGATGGATTGCGTATTTGCGTTCTTAGTTGAAATATTTCTAAGACACTGGCTACGTCTTCACCACCAAAACTGCATTCGGGTTGACTCGTACCATGAACTTCATGTTTTCCAATATATAAGACAACTTCGACAATCTTGGGAGAGGTCCATCTTCTTCATTTAAGCCTGCCTCAGTGCTCTGAAAGGCTTACCCCGCCTTTCCTCTTCTCCACGGGTGCAGGTAGTTTCGTCGCAAAGCAGCGAGATCTGAGACGGAAATCGCACCCATGGGGTCTAGTTAGCCCAAGCCAGTCTTGCACGCGCCGGCGGCGTCGGCAAGGAGGCCAGCGACTTTCTACGAGACTTGCATAGGGATGCAACAACTAGATCTTGCTCTGATAGACTACGAACTAGAGACAGGTAGAAAACCACGGGGTGATTCCCGAAATGTCAGCATTGGGCGCAATGTATTGAGCTGTCGAGATGGCCTCGATTATCTACACCTCAGGATAAATGCCACCAGTTTCGTAGGCACTATTTGGAGCCTTTCAAACTTTTCGGTCACTACGAGTGAAATCGAGGTGTTTTCATCTTGTGTAGACAATTTTCTCCGTTCTCATGAATTGACAAATTGAGTGATTTGGTTGATTGAGGTTGATGATGCTTTTGCGAAATGGACACGAATAATCAATGTATTGGGAAGCTTTTGATCCTACAATGTATTTCTGTATGCAAACAGAATACAGTTCCGGATGGTCTGTGGAACGCTCGTTTCTCTTTTCCTCGGCGCAAAAGAATATCGCGAAGCCGCCGAGAAATCGAGCTATCTGAAAGAGGAATTGCCTATTGCGGATTCCTAAAAATCGCTCTCACAACCTGGGCGAACTCTCGTGTACAGTCAGGCAAGCTAGAGGAGGCTAATGATGCCGAGTAACCAGCACCTGGAGAACGGAGAAGCTTCAAATAAAGGTTTAAAAAAGCTTGTCTAGACTACTCTGATGGACTGACCAACCAGCCATCGGGTAAGTCGGATAACCTAAACACTCTCCGCGGAACTTGATCAACTCTTGATGACGGAATCATCGGATAGATCGCAATACCTCTGGTTCGGCTGCAACTAACCAGGGGTGAAATATCGCGCATAGGCTGAGCTGAGTTCTTAAATCTAACGGTGGTCGCCATGATTCTACACTGAGGCACACGACACCATTTAACTCTCTTCTATTTGTTCATTTCACAACATATTTGCTAGGTCACGAGAGCAACTACGAACAATTGGTTGTCATGGCTCACTTGTTCCACAAGCGCAAGCAACACAGTCACTCCGCAAACCACGACATTGAAGCCAGCCCCAACAGCGAAGAGCCTGTTAGTTGCAATCCTCTATCTTCCACCAATTTAAGCGAGTATGCCGCCCTTGAAAGCTTCATAAGCACTTACCGTGAGGATGGTTACACCAAAAGAGACTTCCACAATAATCAAAAGGGCGGTCGGCATTTGGCATGGTGGAAGCTTTGGCAATCATCCGAGAAACCTGCACAGCAAAAGTCTGACGCCGCAAACATACCCAGAACATGGCTGGAAACCGACATCCGCAATGGTATTGAACAGAGCAAGGTCGTGGACAGAAGAAAGGTATCCGGATGGAATGAATTGACAGCGGAGAAGGAGAACATGATTGCCAAGTTTCTCTCTTTCTTCACCGGGCCGATCCTCCATGGTAAGGATGGTTTCTATTCCCTTGCTGAACCTGCAGACTAACTGAACTATAGTGATGGACGTTGCAGCTCTGCTAGCTGTTGGCCTTGGTGACTGGATTGATTTTGGAGTAATCCTGGGTATCCTGTTCCTTAATGCTTTCGTCGGGTTTTATCAGGAAAAGCAAGCGGCGGATGTCGTTGCTAGTCTAAAAGACATCGCAATGCGCTGTACTGTTATTCGAGATGGGCAGGAACAAAACATACTCGCTCGTGAGCTTGTTCCGGGCAACATAGCAAGTAACAAATTCCGTCTATCATGGGTTTCCTTTCGATCATTACTAATAAACACGAAGGTTTTCGTGGAAGAAGGCGGTACCGTACCCGCCGATGTCCAATTAATTTGTGATTATGGCCACCCGGAACACTTCGAGACCTTCAAGATCCTTAAGGCTGAGGAGGGATTTGAGAACAATGGTAGCGATAATGATGAAGAAGATCATGAAGGTCTCGAACGAGACAATCAGCAATCCGAAGGCATTAATGGAGGAACAGAGCATCGAAATCACCCCTTGATTGCCGTCGACCAGTCTGCCATCACTGGCGAGTCCCTGGCAGTGGACAAATATATGGGTGATATCGTCTATTATACGACTAGCTGTAAGCGTAGAAAGGCGTATGCGATAGTACAAACATCTGCCAAGTTTTCATTTGTTGGTCGTACAGCAAATCTGGTCCAAGGAGCAAAGGACCAAGGCCATTTCAAGGCTGTGATGAATAATATCGGCACTGCTCTTCTAGTATTGGTCATGTTTTGGATCCTTGTTGCATGGATTGGCGGCTTTTTTCACCACATCAAAATTGCCCTTCCCGGCGACCAGAACCTTCTCCACTACGCGCTTGTACTTCTGATTATTGGAGTTCCTGTCGGCTTACCTGTAGTAACTACAACAACTCTTGCAGTTGGTGCTGCGTATCTCGCCGAGCAGAAAGCGATTGTTCAGAAGTTAACAGCCATTGAATCATTGGCCGTACGTCTTCGTGCTGCAGACAATCATCGATCTTTCTAATTAATTCTTAGGGTGTTGACATTTTATGTTCCGACAAGACGGGTACATTAAAAGCCAATAAGCTTAGCATTCGTGAACCATTTGTTTCAAATGGTCAAGATGTCAATTGGATGATGACAGTTGCGGCTCTCGCTTCTTCACACAATCTAAACTCTCTTGACCAATCGACAAAGTAACTATTTTAACACTCAAACGCTACCCCAAAGCCCGTGATATCCTTCAGCAGGGGTGGCAAACGGACAGGTCCACGCCTTTCGACCCAGTTTCTAAGAAAATCACAACGGAGTGCCATCTTGGAGAAGATACATTACACCTGTGCCAAAGGTGCACCGAAAGCGATTCTCAAATTAGCGAATTGTTTGAAAGAAGAGAGCGATTTGTATAAAGACAAAGCACAAGAGTTTGCACACCGGGGTTTCCGGTCGCTTGGCGTTGCTGTCAAGAAGAACAACGAGGACTGGACAATTCTGGGACTTTTATCTATGTTTGACCCCCCTCGAGAGGACACTGCACAAACAATTGTCGAAGCGGGACAACTTGGCGTGGTCTGTCAAAATGTTGACTGGAGATGCAATCGCCATTGCAAAAGAAACTTGCAAGATGCTTTCTTTAGGAACCAAAGTCTACAATTCTGATAAGCTGATTCATGGCAGTTTCTCTGGCAGTGTACAACACGACCTTGTTGAGAGAGCTGATGGATTCGCTGAAGTGTTCCGGAGCACAAATATACAGTGGTCGAGATGCTACAGCAGCGTGGTCATCTGACAGCCATGACCGGAGATGGCGTCAATGATGCACCATCTCTCAAAAAGGCCGATTGCGGAATTGCCGTTGAAGGTGCCTCGGAAGCAGCACAAGCAGCTGCTGATATTGTGTTTCTTGCTCCTGGATTGAGTGCCATCGTCCTTGCTATAAAGACATCAAGGCAAATATTTCAGCGGATGAAGGCATATATCCAGTATCGAATTGCCTTGTGTCTTCATCTTGAGATATATCTAACACTATCCATGATTATTATCAATGAATCGATCACCACTGATTTGGTCGTGTTTCTGGCCTTGTTCGCCGATCTCGCAACAGTTGCAGTAGCATACGACAACGCCCATGGGGAGCCTCGTCCAGTCGAGTGGCAGCTACCAAAGATATGGATTATCAGTGTGATCTTGGGCGTGCTACTCGCATCAGGAACATGGATCATTCGAGGGACGATGTATCTACCAGATGGTGGTGTTGTCGAAAACTTTGGGTCTGCTCAAGAGATTATCTTTCTTGAAGTTGCACTCACAGAGAATTGGCTCACATTTGTCACGCGAGGTGGCAAGACGCTACCTTCTTGGCAGCTTGTAGGAGCTATTTTGGGCGTTGACATCATGGCTACGATTTTCTGCTTGTTTGGCTGGCTCTCCGGACGACCAGAGACTGATACTCCACTCGACTTGTGGCACCAACGAGCAGATGGCTGGACGGATATTGTCACTGTGGTGGTCATCTGGCTCTATTCATTTGGTGTCACCGTTTTCATTGCTATTGTTTACTTGATTCTCAACCGTATTACCTGGCTGAACGACCTCGGCCGGAAGAATCGCAGCAACAAGGACACAATGATCGAGAATGTGCTTGGTCAGCTACAAAAGCTTACTGTTGGACACGAACATGATAATGTTACAGGTCATTCTAGATATGTTTTTCTGGAGAAAGCAACGGATGAGGATGATGAGATATAGGCAACACAGACAATGTCTTAAGCAATGGAGAAGCCTACTGGGCTGATTCTACATTGGGTGCACGGTCGAGATTAAACGCCTGATGGTGTATCATTAACTAAGTAGAAGCCAGTTTTATTACGTTCTTGAATTATCCAAATGCTATTCTATAGATATTAGATTGGCCCTAAGCATAGCCTTAAAAGAGCCTTATTGTGTTGTGAAGTATATTTTGTATGGCTTGACTAACAAAACTTATATGATTGACACCACCAACCTGCACCACATGGAGAGTCTCATGATTTAAGCACGTTCCGGGCATGTGTATGTAATTGTGTTGCCCTTGGGCTTCACTGTAGTCTATTCAACAACTATTTCAATCTACTAAACGCCAACTACGTCTATAGCCTTACAACGATGTTTGCACCGTCTCGTACAGTGCCAATTATACATTCCAATTATATGTCAATCTGTAAAAGATTATACAAACAACAAAGCCTAAGAAAAAATTGCTGCTCTAAATTCTACAGTCTATAATCGGGCTCTCTACTACAATGATGTCCGATTCTGCGATTCATCTTGTGTCTATTTAGCAATCGAAAATTACGAAGACACATCTGCTGTTATTTTCGAGCAGTATGTGCTGTTAGCAGTAATTTTGACATAATTGGCTATATGAAGTTCAGCTCTACTATCTGAGGAAAGGCTAAGCCCTCTAGTTATAGCGATTGATGGCAAAGATTCTAAGGATTTACTTATTTCGAATCCTATTATCAAAATATCAGAAGATGACACTAATACTAAACTAAAGCCTTTATAAATGGTAGGTATTATCGTAAATTCACCATTGTTAGAGGTTGTAGAGCCCGGAGTTGGAATGCTTTGGTCCACAACGCACCATCTGTTGGCTTGACACTCACGTTCACAATGGTGTGCCTCACAAATGGCTTCAGACTTACGTTACCATTAGTGCAAAACCTTATTGCTGGACTGGTGCTCTTTGGCATTGTTGGTATCTATGTTGCAATAACGGCTCTGGGGGCAGGAGGCGAAAAACCTACTTCTACCGATATAATTTACGTTATTTCGTCTACGCTCTATGTCGTCTTTGCGGTGACTGGCTTTTATGGCGGCTCTGTCATCAATAGATTTGGGCTTAGGCGGTCAGTATTTGTGGGTGATACAAAAGTTCCCAACTCTCCTGAAGGTTTCTTAGTAATTGAACACTTTTCAAACTAGGTTGGTGCTTTTGGCTACCCATTCTACGTATCTGAACTTTTCTATTACGACCGCAAGGCCACTCTTACGTACCCAATCGTTGGCGGGGCCGTACTTGGTCTCTGCGCAGGCCAGCTTTGGGCCGGTGTGAACTACATCGCCATTGCATACGCTGATGAGAACAAGGGTCGATTCTATGCGACACAAGCCGCCATGAAAGCCGCAGAAACATGATTGCAAGCTCCTTAGTGCTCGGGATCAATGCGCATAGATCCAACTCCGGTGTCCCAACCTCAGTTTATGTCACATTCATATGCATAATGCTGTTAGCCATGTCTCTAGCATTGCTACTTGAGAGACCAGAGGACTTGAGACGGGAGGATGGTTCTGCTATCGCCATATTTCAGCATCTTTGTAATTTCACTGATAATCCTCGGTATATATAACGGCGAGACCGGATGGCTATTCTCAGCCATTCCACGGTCCAAGCCCGAGTCAACGCCGGCAATATGACTGGACCGATCCAGGTTTCGCGGGCTTCTTTGCATCATATTCGATTTATTCCCCAATCACTAAATGTATGATTGGAACAGTGCTCTGACATGGCCGTAAGTGCTTGGCTCTTGATATGATCGAGCATCTATCTAGTGCAGCCGAGTTGTTTGCTAATCCCGCGCAGGTAAATTGAGATAATCATGGTGACTGGCGTGGAAATTTAGCCATCGCACCATGTTGAAGCACTTCTGAAGCGTCAGAGGCCTAGAATAGATTACCCATGTCAGGGTCGACGCGATTATTTGTCATGTCGAGGTCCTACAGCCTCCTCCCAGATCGCCTTTGCTAATGGTTCTACTTTCGACTGCATCGGCCACACCACTGCCGCCAACGAGTCCCGTGCACCGCCTTGCCCCTCCCATGAAGTTACCCCGGAAAAGTCACTCCAGTTCCGTATCCGTAATGCGAACCACCTCAATAATTCTTGAAAGGTAAACTCGCCGCCCGGCATGTTGCATTCTAGGCCGTCTGAGGTGGTTGCCGAATGGTGAAGCCCAGCCACCGTGATGCTTCCCATAAACATAGTCCAAAGCAACAGCTCGGATGATTGTTTCTTTTCATCGATGACATGCCTATGGTCTACTAGGCGCTGAAAAGCAGCATCCGCCTCGCGCTGTAGCGTTCGAATTACCCATAGAAGAGGGGCTCCTTTGATAGACAAGTTGCCTTGGGATGTGCCGAGATTAAGAACAGCGTAGAGGTAGAAGCCAGAGGTTATGGTGAGAGTATTCCAGGACATGGCATATCTCGTCCCGTTCAAGGCTAGAGCGTTCGTGGGCTGAGTCTCTTCCGATGCTTTGAGACTCGTGGAGCTCTTGGTCATGGAAGAAGAACTGCCTTTGAGTATTGTTAACCCTAGAAATGCGAATTAGGCCGGACTGTAATGTCTTACCATTCTGTTTAGTCAAGCCTTGGAGGAAATAGCTCTTCATCCCCGCCGCACTCATCCCCCAGTCTTGGGTCATAATATCACTCAAGCCAGTGGGCAGCGTCGATGGAAGTCTTCCACCATAGGTAATGGTCAGATATCGCAAGTTGTTAAGGTGCTTCGCGCCATCAACTTCGGTACTTGTTAGCTCCTTGGTCGCAAGAAAGTATGGCATGATCCAGAAACCCGACAGCCTATCTTCTAATTTGTGCAATGGCATCACGGCACCCAAAGATGCATTGGTCTTTGTCAAATCGATAGTTGCCTCCTGAGAACTACTCTCTATGCGGTCACGCTCATATCTCATGCGTGCAACTTCAGTGATGCATATCAATATGTATCGTTCGAGTACAGCGTATTCGCCCTTTTCCTCCTGGGTTGCAATGCACTCTCGAGAGCTTTTAGTTTCGCGACCGCCGAGAAGTGCCGTTAGTCCGTAGATATGAGCTTCTGCCGCTTCTAAATCGCCGGTGCTTGCCTGTGTATAGTGTCAGGAGAATGGCCTCGGCTTGTCATCTGAAAGAGAGCGGCGAGAGACTGACATCTGTTAGGCAAAGGGTCGCAATAGAATTCAAACGAGGTGGCCACCCTCGTGAGTCTCTATTTGAATCTTGAATAAAATCATTGATAGTCCGAAGGCATTCAATTTTGTGCGCGAGATAGGTAGTCTCGTATTCTCGGAGATCGCCGGTATTCCACGAATAGTGTAGAGCCGCAAGAAGCAAGAGACTGCGAAACGAATTCGGGCTCTGCAATGCACCAGCGATGCTGAGAAATTTAGTGTCAGCTTTGGGCAAAGTGTGGAAATTATCTTCAGATCTTAGATTTGAGACCGACCTTGATGCGGACAGCGGCGTGCTGCAATCGGCTTTGTGGGCATGCAGGACTTGACGGAACGGTTAGCTTATGTTACAGAAGAATCCGATAACTCTATATGAGGTTCATAGGGTAATGAATACTTACAATATTCGAACAGCTGATGTGACTTGAGGGGCATACCGCCGGGGAGGGTGTCAAATGGATCAATGCTTGCAGTTAAATTCTTCGGAATCCGCCACACGGAAAAGACACCCTGTTGCCTTGTAGTCTTTGGAATGTCACTCCAAAGCTCGACATGTAACTGGGGATACGCGCACTCTAGGTTTGAAATCACGCATCTGTTGCTACGAGGACCATTGTGGATTAGTACAAGCTCAAGGATTGGGTATACTGTTTCGTTGCTGCGCAAGCCGTCACAGGGTACCCAAATGACTGGGTCGAAGCCACATTGTGTCTGAGATAAAGGAGTTGTACGCACCACAGCGGTCGCGCCTCATCGCATCGAATATGCCGCTTCTTACATGGGTGGCAACCCGTCCGACTCCTAGTGTGGACTCGCCTTGTACGAGTACGTGCCATCGACACTGTACTAAAGCGATCAGTAGGTGGATATTCTTATAACGATAGTCAACTCAAAGCGTATCTCCAAGTTGAGGACGTGACTTGCAAGCTACGAGCAGGCTTTCTCATCGACTTAGTGCAGCGAAAATCATCAGAAGGTGAACCCCCAAGTTCAAGTCCGAGACTTAAACCATTGTATCTCAAACTAGGCTTAATTAGGCATCGTATACGCTGCATTATGATTGGTCCGTGGGCTCCAACACAGCCTTCCCCCAGCATGCAGGGATTTTGGAGCTGCTGAAATGAAGTGACAGAATGAGCCCCCTGCACGAGACAAACGACATGCTTTTCGTAGCATCCTCCGTACTATCATGTGTGTATCCAATAATGAGTTTCTGGTTAACGAGGAAGACATCCATAAACTGGGGTAGTGGGGCTCCTGGGATTTGAAAATGCAGTCGCAACGATCTGCCTGAGAGTTTAGGCCCTTAAGACGAATTGGCTAAGAATCTACAATAGTTAACGTCATCTCGCGGCGACTCACACTCTTCAATTTTGGACTTGAAGAGAAGAGTTTCATCAGGCGGCCTGCTGGAGCTTTTCTACGATGATAACCTGGAAACTTCACGCTGTCCCAAAAATGTTTGCTGTTCCCACTGTCTATCCGACACGCCACCTCCTAAGAACTTTCGCTAGCGATCATTCCAATCAAGGGTGATAACTACATCACTAGTTTGATTGTTGCTAATGCATAACAGTGGCGAGATCAGGCAATTGCTTGTACATTGATGGCGGAGATAATCCTTAATACGTGGATGGCGCCGAAGATATTCATCGGGCACGACCAAGTTCATATTGTCTCGCTGCCCGATGCCGAATGTGTCAACTTTATCTGCATCACTTCAGCTCACAACTTACTAACCCGTAGCACGCTATCTGTTGCACTAGATTGAGCTTAGACACCCTCGACTGTTTCTATCAACATCATCCATAAAGGCCCCTCGCCATCAGTCAAAAACCCAGCCCTCTGGTCGAACATGGGCTCAGGTACGACATACCGAAGAGCGACGAATGCGTATTTCCGAACATCACCACAGCTACGAACATTCATCTGTGGAAGTTCACACCAAACGGGGCAAGACAGGATTCGTGGCCAGCCGACGGTTCGCTGGGCGAAGGCATCAGCCCTGGTACATCTGGGACGTCAATCGTGTGCGCTAGGCGGTAAATTCTACGAGGCGGCTATTGATCTTATCCTGTGGATACATGGAACAAGAAGACATTCCGCAGCCAGGAATAATTATTTTCGACCTTCCATCCAGGGCATAGGAGAATGTCTCCGCTCCGTCTCGATATTCCCCTCACGTCCACGGCCAAGCTGCATGCTTACCCTTTGGAACTGACGGGGTCATCAGCTTCTTTGGTGGCGCGCAGATAGACAAAATTTCTATCAGCAAGTTAAAATACGCGTTATTTGCCAATGTAACATTCTACGATCCTAATATCAAAGTTGAGTTTTTGCAGACAATGACAGGTGACATTCCAGACCAGAGGAAACAACGTTGTGTAGTTAGAGCAACCGGAGCTAATGGTACTAATGATATGTAAGCTTTTTTTCTATGTCAATCTATCTTCGCCACTCGATTTGACCCTCTTCTTTCATTTCTATGCATTGAAACAGGGCAGCAGTGTCTACTGCTGACCAACACCTACTCAAGATATCACATAGCACACACAAAAAGAAGCCTCCAGGGCCAAAAGAACGTATTGGAATGAAGGGGTAGCCATTCTTGTATTCCGTGTAATGATAGCTAAGTGAAGCGAGTAAAAATGAAGTAATTAATAGCAAATAAGTCACATGACGGCTGGCAGGGGTAAGACCATGCTCCCCCAACTCAGCATGTGTATGGAGGGTTCAATCCTGACCAAGTTGTTTTGAGTGACGTCCACATCCCCTCTATTCTGGTGTTGCAATGGTTCAGTGCCTCGACAGATAACAACACACGCGTTGACTAAAGATGTGTTGTTGCCGGTAACAGCCAGATGATGTCTATTGGTGGTCATATGCAAACCGACAATCCAGGACCAGGGGATTTTGTAGACCATTACCAGGGCCCGTGGGCGCAAGGTATAGGCGTCTTTGATATGGCATCATCGGTCTGTTCCTAATATTTTCAGCACCGATGATTGTAATACACCTTGAATGACCGACCGAGTGCTTCGCTAGCAAAGCTCCACGTATAGGGCACGGTGTTAGTGGGACTTAATGTAAAATGGTTTGTTTTCCTGTCTTGGAGCGGCACAGCATCAACTTTCAAAGGGTTTGCAGATTTATTACTATAGCGGTTAGACAGAAACAGAAGCCATTTGG